AACAACCTGCCTCCAGAAGCTGTGAATGCTCCAACACTGGAAGTTTTTAAGAAGAGACTGGACAGCCATTTGTCCGAAATGGTATAGGGTTTCCTGCCTGAGCAGGGGGTTGGACTAGATGACCTTCAAGGTCCCTTCCAACTTTACTATTATTATTATTATTATTATTATTATTATTATTATTATTATTATTATTATTGTTGTTGTTGTTGTTGTTGTTGTTATTATTATTATTATTATTATTATTATTATTATTCTGTGGCTAAGCGAGCCATGATCTGACCACATCCTATTTCGAAACCATTTTTTTTTACTGCAGTTGTTAGGCAAATCAGGCGGTCGCTAACTGAATCCAGCTTCTCCCTGACTGACTTTGCTGGTTGGGAGGTGGCACGTTGCGATCCTGCGGCTGTAAGATGCTGCAATCGTCACATAAATTACAAGGTGGCACCCAAATGGCCATGATATGAAGGGTGGTGCAGTGGTTTTAACTTTTAAGATGGGTCATAAGTCCCTTTTTATGAGCCCATTGTCACTCTGATCTGTCATTACACAAACAGTCGTAAATCGAGGACTACCTATAAGTAGAGGTGGCGGATCACAAGCTGAGCAGAAGATAACCCATGGGTATTTGTAGAATCACGAGGACCCCAACTGAACAGGGTATTTGATCTCCAGTAACCCCCAATTCCAACTGGTCTGGAGACAGTCATATCCAGATGTTTGCACCTCCAAATTTCACAAACTTTTTACTGACTGAAATTGACGGGAGATAGAGTCCCAGATATATCCGTGGAGCCAGGCTGCCTCCTTCTGGAGGGACTGTAACCACTATTCTCTCTCTCTCTTTTTAAAAATTAGTTTATAATATAAAATACAAAAATACAAAAAAAGGAGGAAAATGAGGGAGGGAAAAGTGCAGGAAGAAGGGGGGAAAGAGAAAGAAAAGGCATTGACTTCCAGCTCCCTTTGGTACAGTAAAAATAATAGCATCAAACCTCAACTTTTTACTTTTCCATAATAATATAAAGCAGCCATTTCTCTAACGACAAACCTACTAATTGGTAAAACCCAAAATCAAAGTTTCATGTTTTTTTCCCACCTCCAGCACAAAATCCAGAAGCGGTTTCCAAGCAGAAACAAAAGCAATTGTTTTTGGTTTTTCCCCCCTCTAATCATTATTCTCAATTGAGAGTGTACGGCAGTCTTTCTCAACTTAAGAACCTTGATAAGATGCCTGGACTTCAAGTCCCATAATCCACACACACACCCCAGCCAGCTGGAATTCTGGGAGTTGAAGTCCAAGCCTATCAAAGTTGCTGAGTGTGAGATAGATTGGAGTTGTAGACCCATATTAAACCCATCAAGACTCAGTTAAAAATCTCTCGCGCCTCCATCCGTACACAACACAAGTTGGACCAGTTTTCACTCCTGGGGAGGAGGGTTGTGCTGTGGTTTTGTGTGTGTGTGTGAGAGAGAGAGAGACTGAGCAGGTTGGGCCAACCCAGCTCGCTCGGCGAGTCCGCTCCTTGTGCAAATCCAGGAACTGGATTCACTCGGTCACTAAGTGAGTTTTGGAGTGAGTGATGACGAAGAAGCACCATGGCTGAGGAAGGAGGCTGTTTTAATAATAATAATAATAATAATAATAATAATAATAATAATAATAATAGTAGTAGTAGTAGTAGTAATAATAATAGTAATAATAATAATAATAATAATAAATAATAATAATAATAATAATAATAATAATAATAATAATAATAATAATAATAATAATAATAATAATAAAAAGTTGGAAGGGACCTTGGAGGTCATCGAGTCCAACCCCCTGCTCAGACAGGAAACCCTACACTATTTCGGACAGATGGCTGTCCAGTCTCTTCTTAAAAACTTCCAGTGTTGGAGCATTCACCGCTTCTGGAGGCAGGTAGTTCCACTGGTTAATTGTTCTCACTGTCAGGAAGTTTCTCCTTAGTTCCAGGTTGCTTCTCTCCTTGATCAGTTTCCACCCGTTGCTTCTTGTCCTGCCTTCAGGGGCTTTGGAGAATAGCTTGACTCCCTCTTCTTTGGGGCAGCCCCTGAGATACTGGAACCCTGCTATCATGTCCCCCCCTCCTCCTTCTCTTCGTTAAACTAGACATACCCAATTCCAGCAACCGTTCCTCATATGTTTCAGCCTCCAGTCCCCTGATCTTCTTTGTTGCTCTTCTCTGCACTCTTTCTAGAGTCTCAACATCTTTTTTACATCGTGGTGACCAAAACTGGATGCAGGATTCCAAGTGTGGCCTTACCAAGGCATTGTAAAGTGGTATTAATACTTCCAGGCTCGGCTTTGTTTTGTGTTTTCCACAAGGATCTTCTGGGCAAGAGGCCAGTTGGTTCTTCGGGACCTTGCAGAGGATGCAAATTATCCCCCCCCCTTTTAATGTTTTTAGAGCCGTTCTCCCTCCCCTCTCTGTGTGTGTGTGTGTGTGTGTGTGTGTGTGTGTCTCCCTTTGCATTAAAATTGTTCTTCCGTGCCCTACAGTGCATTATGAGAATGGACTTTGGGGCTGCTTCCAAGCAGGATGAATTTGGTGCAGGATTCCTCTGCCCTAAACCCATTTGCCAAATCTTATTGGGGCGAGGGGGGCAAAAACAGAAACAAAACGGGAAGAGGGTGGGGATTAGACACCCCCCCTCCCCAAGAAGCCAAGTTTTGGAAATCTACTTTACAACGCCCGAGGAAGAGTGGAAAGCTTGGCACAATACAGATTGTCCTTAACTTACGGATCCCAACATTTCCGTGGCTAAGCGCGACAGTCGTTCCCTGAGTTTTGCCCTGTTTTTGCCGGCTTTCTAGCCAACGTGATTCAGCAAATCCCTTAATT